ACTGTGCATTGAAGGATGTTGAGCAGCATCCCTGGTTTCTGCCCACCATATCATGGTAGCAAACTGATCCCCTGCCTAGTTGTAACAACCAAAATTTTCTCCAAATGTCCCCTGGGGGCAAAATTGTCTCCAGTTGAGAATTGCTGTTGTATACAATATTTACATTTTACTGTATATTTACCCATATATTTGCTCACTTTTTATTCTTGCACCTTGTACCTCCCTTTTGGCATCATTTTCTATCTTCCTGATATCTCTTTAATTTTCTTTGGTGAAAGACTTGGTAGTAAACTCAATTTTTGTTCTTGCTTATTCCTTTTTTTTTTGCAGCAGGCCAGTACAGGGATCCAACCCTTGACCTTGGTGTTATAACACCTTGCTGTAACCAACTGAGCTAACTGGCCAGCCCCTATGCTTTTTCTTGAATAATATTTTTGCATGGTACACAATTATAGGTTCATAGTTATTTTCTTTCAGCATTTTGAAAATGATATTTCATTGTCTTTTGGCTTTCATTAGTGCTATTGAGAAGTTTTCTGAAAGCCAATCTGTAATCCTGTTGTAAAGTTTTTCTTTTATCTCTTGTTGTATTTCATATTATTTCTTTGTTCTTTTTTGTACAACTTCAGTACAGTGTGTGAAAAGGGGTTACATTTTGTTTCAGCTGGATTGTACTTACTTTATCTAGACTCATGTCTTTCATTGGTTTTAGAAAAATTTCAACTTAAATCCATTGAATATTGCATCTCTTCTATTCTCTTTATTCTTTCTAGCACTCTTATTAGGTATATATTAGACTTCTTTCTGGCATTCTTATTAGATATATATTAGATGTTCTGATTCTATCATCCTTATACTTTAATTTCTTTCATATTTTCTCTTTTTTCTCTCTGTGCTACAGTCTGTGCTAGGAAGTTCTTCACATATATCTTCCGGTTCACAAATTTTATCTTCAGCTGTGTCTAATATGATACCTAATTCATCCAATGAGTTTTAAATGTCAGTAATTACATTTTTCATTTTTTAAAGATTCTATTGGTTCTCTCTTAAATGTTCCAGTCTTTGTAGATAATGCTCATTTTTAATTCTACTTTTTATTTTTTAACAAGTTAACATATATTTATTTTTCATTGAACACCTAAAATATTAATATATGAAATCCTTGGGGGACTTAATCTGTTTATTCTTTCTGTTGACTTTTATTATTAATGGCTTGTTTCCTTATGTGTTTGGTGATCTTTGTCAGCAGTTATTTGGTTGATTTTAATCTCTGGTATCTTAAGTGTCTTCTAACCTGATACCACTTTAGCCATTGAATTAATTTCAATTATTATATTTTTAATAGTCACAGGTGTTTGTTTTCATATCTTCTTACTTTTATTCATATTTTCAAACATATTTTCTTTCTTATACTATATTAAATATTTTTTATATTGTCTGATGATTCTAATCTCTGAAATCTTTGCAAGTCTTATTCTGATGTCTCATGTTTCTTCTGACTCTCACTCATGGTGCCTTGTTTCCTTAGGTGTTTAGTAATTTAAAAAAATTTTAATCCATTCATTTTCATTGAAACTTTATTTGGTGAAATTTTTTAAGAACTTTGATGAAATTGGGTGTCTATACAAATGATTTGCATTTGATTCTGTCAGGCATCTAGGTACATTACCAATCTAGGACCTATTTAAGTTAGATTCTCAGCTTGAGGCTTTTTAGACTACCAAGTTAGTGTTGATTTTTGGATAGCAAATCTATGTGAGTGGAATTAATGTGGGGAAATTCATACCTTTGCTCCCTTCCATTAGGCAGTTTTCCTAACAATTCTTGGGGTGGGGATAGGAGGTGAGGATGCTTTAGTTATATGTGGCTCATTTTAAAACTTTTATTTTGAAATAATTTTAGAGGTACAGGAAGCTGCATATACAGAGAGGTCCAGTGTACTCTTTTCACAGTTTCCCACAATAGTTACCTCTCTTATAACTGAAGTACAATATGAAAATAAGAAAATTTGCATTGGTACAATGTGTGTGTATGTAGTTCTATTACATTTTATTGCATGTATAGATTCATGAAACCACCACAGCAATCAAGGTACCAGAACTATTCCATTATCACGAGGATCCCTTAATGCTACCTTCTTACCCACAGCAACTAGTAATCTGTTCTCCATGTCTCTAATTTTGTTATCTTGAGAATGTTGTATAAATGGAATCATGTAGTATATGACTTTTTATTTATTTATTTATTTATTTTATTTATTTTATTTTTATGTTTTGTGACTGGTAAGGGGATCACAACCCTTGGGGTGGTGTCGCCCACACTGTGCTCAGCCAGTGAGCGCACCGGCCATTCCTATATAGGATCCGAACCCGCGGCGGGAGTGTCGCTGCGCTCCCAGCGCCGCACTCTCCCAAGTGCGCCACAGGCTCGGCCCAGTATATAACTTTTTTAAATTGGCTTCTTTTCACTCAACAGAATGCCTTTGTGGCCATCTAACTTGTTGCATGTACCAATAGTTCATTCCCTTTAACTGCTTGGTAGTTTTCCATGGTAAGGCTATACTATGGTTTGTTTAATCATTCTATTAAAGGACATTTTGATTGTTTCCCATTTATGGCTATTACAAATAAAGCTTTTATGAACATCTGTGAATAGGTTTTTGTGTGAACATTTATTATATTTCTCTGGAGTAAATGCCCAGGAGTGCAGTTGCTGGGTAATATTGTAAGTGTAGGTTCATGTGTATGTTTTCTTTCTGTTTGTTTGCTTGCTTGCTTTTGGCGGCTGGCCAGCATGTGTATGTTTTTAAGAAACCTTGCCTCTGTTGTTTGGTTCATACACATCTAATATTGCTATGTCTTCTTGGTGAATTGACCCTTTTATTATTATGTAATGTCCCTCACCGTCCTAGTAATTTTCTTTGTTTTGAAGTCTACTTTATCTGATATTAATATACCATTCCTGCTTTCTTTTTTTTTTCCATTCCAGATTTCTTTTGATTATTGTCACTGTGTATATCTTTCCCCTCCTTTTACTTTCAACCTACCTATATCATATTTGAAGTATACTATGTATATATGAACTATATGTGAGGTCATGAGTGTGACTTATTGTTAGAGTATGGCCAGGGGCTCCAGAATTATGGGAGTCTCCCCCCAACCTCCAATTTGGCAAGCTTTGTTCTCCACTCCCTGCCCCCGCAAAGGTCCATGAAACCACTAAAATCAATACTCAGTGTTACCAATTTGGTAAATACTCTGAAGATGAACGTCAAATTCTAAATTCTGTCCTCCAGTTCCCTCTGTAAGTTCGTTCCTGTCTTCACACTCAGTCCTTAACCTATGTATTCTCCCTCTTTAACAGTTTTCAGTGGAAATGTTGGTGTGTAATCCACCATGTTGCAGGGGAGCCAGTTTAATCCTCAGAACAACTCTCTGGTGGTTAATATTGCTCTCATTTTGCATATCATGAAGCTGTGTGACATTGTGAAAGATACAATGTAGTAGAAACACATGAGCTTTGAGGCAAGCGAGCCTAGGCCTGAATTCTGACTCTATCACTTAGTTGTATAACTTTGGGCAACTTATTAACCTCTATAAACTTCATTTTACTCATTCATGTTATAGTATTTCTCATAGTGTTGTTGGGGGCATTAAATGAGATAAAACATTAAAATGCTTAGCATTTTATTAAGTGCCTGGCCCTGAATAGATGGTAGTTGTTCCTATCATTGTTGTTCTAATTGTTGTTAAAGATTCAATAAGTTGTCCGTGGTTATTCAGCTAGTACTGCACATGGCAGGGCTGAGATTCAGACTTAGATCTATAATTCTAAAGCACACGCTGTTTTCCCTACAGCATTTCACTTTTCTTATCCTCCTTAGAAAGTATTTACAGATGGAAAAATAGTAGTTTGCAGGTCTTTCATACATTTATCTTTTATCCTATCTAAATAATCCTTAAATATTTAAATGCCTAGGACATGTGGGAAATAGAAAAAAAAGTCTTAATACTTTATTTCATATATTTCTAACTGGACTATGATTCCCTTAAAAGCAGTTTAATGTAGTTAAATATTCATGCTTTAGAATCACAAAGACCCAGATTTGAGTCCCAGCTGCTTAACCTTTAAGGTCCTCAATTCCTGGTCTGTTAAGTGGAAAAAAAGAACATTAACTCCCTAACAAGAATATTAGAGGATAAGATAAAATAAAGTAATACATTTAAAACAGAGCCTGAAACATAGTAAATGTTCCCAAATGGTAGCTATTCTTATTACCAAAGGCAATGACTATGTTGCTATGTTTTTTATTCCTCCCATTAGTTCAGTCAGTCAACATTAAGTGCCCCTGTGTGCACTAAAGAAAATACTTGGCAGTCAATTGCTTGATACTAAACAGGGCATTAAATAAAAAGGAAACTAAATTTGATTTGTTATAGCCAAAAGCTTATTATGTAACATAGGCAATTCTGTCACAGAGGTAGCTTCATCAATTGTGAGTTTCAGACTGCAGAAACACTTGGAACAATCATTCCAAGAATGTCCAAAGGTTCAAGTGTCCTGGCATGTATAACCAGAGAAAGCCTCTGTCTCTTTCTTCTTTAGAAAAGAATTTTTTGGGCCGGCCCATGGCTCACTCGGGAGAGTGCGGTGCTGATAACACCAAGGCCCCAGGTTCGGATCCCACATAGGGATGGCCGGTTCGCTCGCTGGCTGAACGCGGTGCTGACACCACCAAGTCAAGGGTTAAGATCTCCTTACCGGTCATCTTTGAGAAAAAAAATTAAAAAAGAAAAAAAAGAAAAGAATTTTTTTCTGTCCCACAAAGAAGAAAAAAATACAGACAAAAAACTTTTCCTTTTCACTGGGCCTATTTTTCAACCTCATGATATAAAGTGATAAAGAGATAATATAGAGAGATAAAAAAAATATCTAAAAGGATTGACCCTCCTGCCAATAATCAAGAAAATGTGTATCAGTAAAATTCATAATATAATTACCTTCTTCTTGTGTTCTTCCCCAGCCACTTATAAAACACTTTGTATTTTCATCCAGGGTTTGGAAAACATCAAAAGGTAGACAGATAGGCTGAATATAGTCATTATACCTCACTGCTTTTTTTAAATAAAATAGTGCAATATCGTTTACAAAAGTTTCCAAAATGAAGTTTGGATGGATAATGATTGTTTTAATTTTTATCGTCTTGGCATGTGGATGGTTCCCATATATAGTATTAGTTCCAACGACAGCTCTCCACATTAAAGGATCTCTGAAAGAAAGTGAATATTCTTATCATAAACTTGTTTGTTTAACTAAGTAAGTATTCTTAATCTCCCACTAGTTTTTGGTTTTTTTATATTAGATTAATAACAAAATTTTAATTCTACCAAATATCATGAGGTAGGAAAGGAGAGAAAGATTCAAGTACATGAGAATTTAGTATATGATTAAGATAGTATTTCTTACCCAATGGAAGAGAGAATGAATTATTCAATATACAGTACTGGGACAACTAGCTAACTGTTTGAAAAGAGAAATAAAATTTGATTCCTAAAATAACACTAAACACCAAAATAAACTCCAAATGGATTAAGTACTTAAATGCACAAATCTTTTTAATAAGGAGTTCCTATATTTTAGAGACACCCAAAGTGATATGCCTTGGGATTTGCTTCAAAACAATTGGAGGGGACAGTCTGGCCAGTTAGTTCAGTTGGTTAGAGAATGGTGTTGCAACACTAAAGTCAAGGGTTCAGATCCCCTACCAGCCAGCTGCCAAACAAAACAAAACACAAAAATTAAAAAAGAAAAAGAAAACTTAAAATAATTGGAGAGGGGGGATTGGTGAGGGTATAGATGAAACAAGATCAGGTATAAGTTGATAACTTGAGCCTGAGTGATGAATACATGAGAGTTCACTGAAATATTCCCTCTGCTTTTATAAATTTTTTTTTAAATTTACTAGAATGGAACATTTGGATATTAATTTAGCATGAGAATTTTAAAAATCAGAACCAGAAAGAAAATCTAGGTAAATATATAACATTGATATTAGAAAGGACTTTATAAAGCATGACACCAAAGGTAAGAACAAGAAGCAACTAATGGATCGTGACAGTTGAAAAAGCAAACAAGCAATCAAAAAACTAAACAAAAAAAGGTCAAAAGATCAACAATTAAAACCCTAAGAAGTTTAATCGTTATTACATCAGGAATTGAATTAGGAAGGAGGAACTTTCACTTTATATACTATTGTTTACAAATACTGAAATAACTTTTCACCCTTCAAATTGGCAAAGTTTATATGAGTGGGTGTATGTATTCGATGGTAACACTCAAGACAGACAAGAGTTAGAGGAACAAGGGTAATCTTCATTGTGGAAAATATAACTAGGCAGGCACTTCGGCAACGTGTGCTAGTAGCCCATAAAAGTTGCATTGCATTTGATTCTGCAGTTCTACTTCCTAGAATTTATCCCAGGTAACTAGAAGATGAACACAAAGATTTAAGCTATAAGGATATTTACCACTGAAAGGGCCTAAGTGCCCAATAAATGGCATGAATGCATTCTGGCACATCTGCAGAGTGGAATGCAGAAGCAACACAAATGTGTTGATATGGAAAATTGCTCATGTTATATGATTTAATGAAAAAGGCTATTTCACAACATAGCTTATGAGCCTTTTATGTAAATTAATTTGTAATATGCATAGAAAAATCTAGAATGATATGTAACAGAAAATTAATAGCTGTTTTTCTAGGAGGTATAATGTGATTTTTAAAATTTTTATTTTCTCATTTTCATATATCAAATATTCTATTTGTTTATGTTTTAATATGAGATTGCATATACAGTTACCATTTGATCCAGTGATTTCACTCTTGGATATTTACAAAAGTGAAATGAAAACCTAGATTCACACAAAAACCAGTAAGTGAATGTTTATAGTGGCTTTATTCTTCTCCTTTTTAAAAAAAAAAAAATTATTCCTTTTTTTTTTATATAATGGCTTTACTTTTTTTTTAAGTTCAGTACACTCACACAGCCTTATTAATTATAAAACAGCTTTCCAACAAGTGTAAACTACCCAGACATATACTAATTATAAATGTACAGAATCCATATGAAAACATTTATGACATTTTCCAAGGGACATAGAAAACTACCAAAAAATAGTGCTGCCAAATAAGACTCAATATTGTTAAGACAGTTCTTGCTAAATTCATTACAAATGATCAGAATTCTAGTGGGATATTAAAAATAATACATAACAGGGATTTCAAAATTTAATTAGAAAAATAAACTGCAATAATTAAGAAATTTATGAAAACTAAGAGTAAGAAGAGATTTGCTGTAATGGTTTTCAGAATATGTAATCAAAATATACGAATTAAGACAATGGTACTGGAATAGATAGAACAATAAAACAAAATAAAAATATTAGAAGGATTTCAAGTGTACTTAATAATTTAATATGTGCTAAAGTTACCTTTATTAGCAAAGGAAAACATAATATATTAATCAATAGTGGGGCTGACTCAATTGGCCAGCTTTGGGGGAAAAAGGCAAATTTTCCACCCCATATCATAATCTAAAATAAATTCCAGATAGATTATAGATTTCAAATATGGAAAATGAATCATGATTGTGGTGGCTTTACTCTTAATTGCCCAAATAGGAAACAACCTAAAAGTCCTTCAAGTGATAGATGGATAAACAGTGGTACATCATATAATGGAACACTACTCAGCAATAAAAAGGAACAGTAATGATACATACACACAGTAACATGGATGGATCTCAAATGCATATGCTAAGTGAAAGAAACCAAACTCAGAAGACTACATACTATATGATTCCATTCATATGATACTCTGGAAAAGGCAAAAATACAAAGACAGAAAACAGATCAGTGGTTCTCTGGGGGCAAGAGAGGGGGTTGACCTCAAAGGGGCATGGAGTAATTTTTGGAAGTGAAGGAATTGTTTTATGTCTTGTGTTGGTAATTACATGGCTGTATGCATTTGTCAAACTCACAGAACTGTACACTAAAATTAGGGAATTTTGCTGCATTTTGACTTTCATAAAATCATTTTTGTTGTTTCATTTTTTGAAAAGGAATGATCCACTGGTACACAAAACAACATGGACGGATCTGAAATGCATTTTGCTAAAAGTAAAAGAAGCCAGGCTCAATACGTTACATATTGTATGGTTCTGTTTATATCACATCATAGAAAAGGCAAAACTATAAGGGACAGAAAGCAGATCAATGATTCCCAAGGGCTGTGTGTAGAGGTAGGGGTTGACTACAGAGGGTCATGAGACAATTGAAGGTCTTGGAACTGTTCTAAATCTTGATTGTAGTAGTTACATGACTTATATACATTGTTGCAGGAATTGTAGTAGTTACATGATTTATATACATTGTTGCTGTAAAAAAAAAAAGGTGAATTTTACTGAATGTAAATTATACCTTAATTTTTAAAAGAAAATAATAATTAGATAAATGAGAAAACTAAGAAAAGAAAATAGGTCCAAAAGGTCATTTCTGCTAATGTGAGTTAGGATTGGCCGTAGGAAAATGCCTCTAGTTCTAAATTTTAATAGACACCAATGCTACTTCTTTCTTAGTGCCAGTTACCTGGAGACTATTAAAACAACATACTCAGGGGGCTGGCTGGTTAGCGTAATTGGTCAGAGTGGTGCTGGTAACACCAAGGGCCAGGGTTTGATCCCTCTACTAGCCAGCCACCAAAATAAAAAAATAAAACATCCTCTTCCTCTTTCCTAGAAATATGCATTGGTGCTTATATACCCATATCCCTGTGCAAGGAAGAGTGTCTTGCCCACTCTATTGTCAAGGAGCCCTCATCTAATACATGACCCAGGTCCCCTGTAGTTGGGCAATGATGATATCGCCTAGATTGAAAAGCTGGGCTGGGCCAATCAGATAATTGGCCTTCTCATCAATTTTTATGATTAATTAGCAGAAGGAGCTGAAACTGAAAGATTATAATGTAGATTGAAGGGCCTTAGTGGATCATGTGCAAACTCATGTTATGAGGAAGCCATTCAGTAGAAAGGAGGAAAAAGGGCAGACAAAAAAAGAAAAAAACAGGAATGCCTTCAGAGGTGCCCAAACTATAAACAACTACATCCCCAATATCTTTCCTCATGTGATGAATCTAGTTGCATATCAGAATCCAGGGCTTTAATAAAGGAGCAAAGAATAACAAGATTAGTTCTTAGGGATTAAACTGATTTCTAGGGGAAAACTAGCAGCTAATCCAAAAGTGGCCAGCAGGAAGCTGATGAAAGAGCTTGAAGAAATCTACAAGCATGGAATGAGAAGCTTTAATAACAAGCATCTAGTTTGATAAAACTAATTTATTGACTTGGAAAGGGTTTTTTTTTTTTTTTTTTTTTTCCTGACAACCTTCTGTTTGATAAGAGGGCTTCAAAATAGAAATCAGTTTTCCAACAGTTTCCAAACTACCGTAGATCATACTTAAAACAAAAAGCTATCACCTTAATCTTGATGAAAAAGGACGAGCCTTTCTTCTAGGAACTAGTGCTAAAAACTGGATGCCAGCAACTAAAATTTATCACGTAATCCAGGACTGCAAGCCTGAGCATTCCCTCAGGCTGATCTAGTTGAAGAATATTCTTAAGTACTGTTTAAAAAATAATTTAAAAACAGCAACAAAAAACCCTTCAGAAGTTTTTACAAAGAGTTACAAAGCAATATGAGGAAAGCAATTTTCGATTAAAATCTGCTGTATAATTAGGGCCTGCCCGGTGGCGCACTGCTACAGTGCGCCGCTTGGGAGCACGGTGGCGCTCCCGCCGAGTCCCGGTCCGGTACCGGCGCGACACTGAGGGTTGCGATCCATTGCCGGACACGAAAAAAGACAAAAAGGAAAAAAAAAAAAATCTGCTATAATTAATTCCAGCAAGTATGAAGGGAAAGTTAGAGCAGTATAAAACAAGACTACATTTAGTTCCACTGCCTGGCATTAGCTTAGGACAGTTACTAAGTTTGTACTGTTTTCTTAAAAGTGGATTAAGGTTAGAGCACAGCCTTGTAACACCAAGGTCAAGGGTTCGGATCGCTGCCCCAAAAAAAGAGACGTGCACTAGGTAACTTCTAAAAAATATTTGTAAAATATTTTTAAAATCCTAGTTCTGCTTTGTTTAAAAGGAAACCACTGCTTAAGCCCCTCCCCCCCACCCCCTTTATTATTATCTTTTCCCTCTGGCAGCTGGCTAGTACTGGATCTAAACCCATGACCTTGGTGTTGTAAGGCTGCTCTCTAGCTGAGCTAAGTGGCCAGCCACTATGTTGAAATGTTTCTTTTCTTTTCCAAATTTACTCAAGTCTTCCATTTATATTCAGTTCATAAGATTAAAAAAATGTATAAAAGGAAGTCTATAAAACATTGCTGAAAGGAGTTAAAGAAGACATAAATAAATTGAAATATGTCCTATCTTTGTGGATTGGAAGACTTAATATTGTTTACATGACAGAACCACCCAAAGCTATCTGTTGCTTCAATGCAGTCCCTGTCAAAATCCCAATGACTTTTTTTTGCAAAAATAGAGAAACTCATCTTAAAATTCATTTGGAATATCAAGGGACTCCAAATAGCCAAAATCTTGAAAAAGAAAAATGAAGTTGGAGGACTGACACTTCCAGATTTTAAAATTTACTACAAAGCTACAGTAATCAAAACAACGTGGTGCTGGTATAAGGATAGACATATACACCAATGGAAAAGAATAGAGAGGCCAGAAATAGTCTCTCTCATATACGGTAAATTGATTTTCAGTGAGGTAAGGACAGTCTTTTCAACAAATGGTACTGGGAAAACTGGATAGCCACATGTGGAACAATGAAGTTGGACTCTTACCATACACCATATGCAAAAAGTAATTCAATATGGATCAGAGAACTAAATGTAAGAGCTAATGCTGTAAAACTCTTGGAAGAAAACACGGGGGGAAAGCTTCATGATGTTGAATTTGGTAATGATTTTTTGGATATGACACCAAAAGCACAGGCAACAACAGAAAAAATAAATTGGACTTCATCAAAAGTAAACACTTTGGTGCATGAGAGGATACTGTCAAGAGAGTAAAAAGACAATCCATAGAATGGGAGAAAATATTTGCAAATCACATATCCGATAAGGGATATAAAAAGAACCTGTACAACTCAATAACAACAACAACAAAAAAACCCAGCCCAATTAAAAAATGGACAAAGGACTTGAATATACACAAATGGCCAGTAACTATATGGAAAGATGCTCAACATCGCTAGTAATAAGGGAAACAGAAATCAGAGCCACAATGAGCAACCACTTCAGACTTATTAGGATACTGTCATAGTAGTAGTGTAAGTATAAATATTGTTAAGTGATGACCTAGGGATATGGAGACTAATATTCTGCATCAACAGTCATCCCTGGATCCCCAAAGATACCAAAATCCATGGTAGCTCAAGTTCTTTATATAAAAAGGCACAGTACGAGGGTACTTCAAAAAGTTTATGGAAAGATTTATACTATCTTTTAATTCTGTTTTTCCACAGACTTTTTGAAGTACCCTCATATTTGCATATAACCTACACACATCATCCCATATTCTTAATATCATCTCTATATTACTTACGATACCTAATACAATGTAAATGGTACGTAAACAGTTGTTATACCCTATTGTTTTTTACATTTGTATTCTTTTTATTTTTATTTTTTTGAATATTTTCAATCTGCAGTAGCTTGAATACACAGGTGCAGAACCCATGTATACGGAGGGCCAACTGTATCAGTGGGGAGGCTTGAATGACAGAAGCAAATTTAAGGTATTGCACAGAGAGACTTCACAGGCTTTGAGGACCACTTGGATAGGTGAAGTGAGAGAAATCAGGTAACAATGTGGGTAATGGAGCTGTTGGTAATACTATTAGCTGCATGAATAGAGAAGGAGTGGGATTAGAGGAAAGGTAAAAAATTCAGCTTAGGACTTGTTGAGAATGTGACTACAATATATACATAGTAAGGAGTTGGAAATATGATTTATCAGGAAAGACTTAGGAGTTGCTAACACGTAGTGATTGCTAAAACAGAGATCAAAAAGATATCTCTAGGAAAGAGTACAGAATGATAAAACGAGAGGATAGAGGGCAGAACTCTAGAGAACACTGCAATTTAAAAGATGACAGAGACTTATCAAGGAAGAGGAGAAAAGAAAAAAAGAGAGAGACTGGTGTCATAGAAATCAAGAAAAGAGACAGTTTTTGTAGCAGCCAGCTGCCAAAAAGAAAAAAAAAAAAAGTTTCAAGGAGAATGTGGTCTACATTGCCAAATGTTGTAAAAATCAAATAGAATGAGAGCTGAGAAGAGATCATTGGATTTGGCATGGAAGTGGCTCTTTAATAGCGTTTTGGCCACAGAAATCAGATTGTAATTGGGATTTTATGGGTCAGAACAGATAAAGGGAGTCTCTTTTTTAAAGGTCTAACAGTGAAGGCCATATCTGACCTGTCTCTTGTTTTTATATAGCCCATAAAAACATGTTTTTTTACATTTTTAAATGGTTGAAAATACCAAAATAATATTTTGTGACAGGTGAAAATTATAAAAAATTCAAATTAGGGTTTATATGTAAAGTTTTATTGGATCACAACCACACTCATTGAATTATGTATTGTCTATGGCTGCTCTCATGACAAGAAATTGTGATAGAGACTATATGAGCTGCAAAGTCTAAAATATTTACTAATCTTTACAGAAAAAGTTTGCCAACCTCTGATTTAAAGCATTCATTTCAACAAATACAGTGTACTGTGAATAAGGATTATGGCTACTTGAAAACATGGCTTCACTGAAAATGGCTGAAGTCAAATGGTCCTCTACCACTTCAAAATATCTCCTAAGAGAATAAAATAGTTGTGTTCTGAATACATACCTAGAGTCTCTAGTGCAGTGGGCAGCTGTGAGGACCCATCTTTCTCTCACTAGGCTTCCCCCACATATATGAACAAGAAGACGGCCATATTTAATCTGCAGGCTAACTATCCATGGCCATGCGCCAGCTTGAGCTTCTTTGCCCCCTATAATCCGAGACCCTTTCGACACATCCCTAAGTGGTGCCGTTCCACAATCTAAAAATAAAAGTGATATATTATTTGGACTGAACATCTATATTACATTATTTTCTAATCTGAACACATTAATATAATCCTTTAAATTCCTATTTAAAAACCGATAAAGCAAATTGGATATCTGAGGCTTTTTATCTGCCCATTTTCTGAAAGAATCTTAAAGGAGAGTTGACAAACATGCCATAATTGAATACTTACCAATAGAAAGACATGAAATGAACACAGTTCATTAATTTTACAAGTCTATTCCCCCAAAATATAAAAATGAGATAAGTTTCTCTGGCTAGGTCTCAGTTTTTTCTCTGTGTAAAATAGCAATTAAAGAGTTTAGGACTGGTGAGTCCAGAGCTGCAAATTCTAAATACTTGCCATTTAATTTGGGCTAATTTTTCTCAAATGTAGTATGAAAAGGCCACCTAATAGCCATTTCAACTGTGAAGTCCAATGAATTATTAATCTGTAAAATGGGAATGATAAGCCCCAGAGTGCAAATATAGACGCCTTACACAAATATATGTCATTTTCAGTATTACTACTGTCATCATAATTATAATGGGTCTAGAAACTGCTTAAGTATAAGTATGTAAAATTTTGGTTAAGAGCAGATGGGATAACAGAAAAGAAGGGACCCAAATTCAGACACTATAGTAGTGGGTTAAAGGCAAAGGAGGCTGACCAAAGACAGGAATAAGCGGATACTGCCCTTTGCGTCTGACCCTTTGTTCTTTTGGGCCTTCTCCGCTTCTTGCCGCCCAAGCCTCCAACGCATGGCCTCGGCCCACTCTGAACCACCGGCTTCTTCCCGCGAGGAGCCGAGCCTGTTCCTTTCGGAGAGCGAGTGGCGTTCTGAGTGTAAGAGAGAGCTCCCCACAAACAACAGTGCAGCGCTCAGGAGCCCCAGCCCCATTTCTGCGCGCCTGGTGGGCAAGATGGCGGACAAGGCCCACCAGGCTCACGGCCTGGGGAGTAGAGGCGGGGAGGCCGCGAGAACCACGCACTCGACGCGGGCGCGGTGCTGCGTGAAGGGCGAAAGAGGCTTGTGTGGGTGGGCGGGGTTGCCCGGGTAATTTAGGCGTCCCAGTGGTATTCCAGGTGGCATGCATTATGGGATAGAAACGTGTGTGTCCTCCCCGCAGCCAGGCTCTGGGGTTTCGTTTGCTGGCAAGGCCTTCCTGGGCCCTATCAACATACTTTTACTGTATAGTAGGAGTATGGCTGTGAGAGGGGAGGTGGAACCAATAGGGCACTGCTAGCTCAGATTCGGAGGACCATGAAGGCTTCCAAAAGGAAGGGCGTCTAAACCGTGGGTGAAGAGCTGGAGAAAAGGGAGGTAAAGCAGAAGGCAGTGCAAGTGTAGAGACTGGGATTTGAGACAACATAACCATTGGGGGAACCCAATTTCTGTGGTGTAGATAAATCTATTATTTCGTAGTTTTGAAGTAGTTGGCCTTGAGCTGATCAACTGACAGTGAGCTGGTGAAGTCCAATCTAAGGACCTGAAAAGTTGAGGACAGAGCCTCACTAATAGTAATTGCCTGGCCACCCTCTACACTCCCCCCACCCTCACACAGAGAATTCAGTCCCTAGCTTGAGAGATCCATTATTCCTTGCCCCTCTGAGAACCCCTGAGATGTACCCTGACATTCCAAACACTGTGGGTGTTGGGGGTGGGGAGGATGCAGATAAGTGGCCTTGATTAATCAATCCATTGAACAAGTAGGTATTACCCTCATGCTATATACCACACACCAAAATAAGTATCACATCATGGGAGGTGTGTTAAGGCCTTGCCCTTTGACTTAACGAACTTTATAATTTGGCTAGCAGAGAAAATTAGGACGAACTCACTTGAGGAACAACAAGTCTAATATGAGTTCAGACACAAAGGATTGGTGTGGGCTGTAGCAGTCCTGGAAGGCTCCCCATAGAAGGGGGATGTGAGCTGGGCCTAGATTGAGGGAGAAGATTGAGAGGAAAGAGGAATAATAAAGACAGGCTAGGCTACAGGTACAGCATAAACAAGGGCATGGATATGTATCCATGTGATACAATGAACAACTTGAGTTCAGGAAGCTGTGAAGATCAGTCTGAGTCTTGCTGGCAAATCTGTGTACATGGAAGAGAAAATGTCCCAACACTCCTTAGGGCTTGCTGTGGACATACGTTATGTGAGAATATACAAAGATAATAATGATACGATATGCGTGCATATAATTTTATTATTATTTTTACTTTTTTATTGTTCTTAGACTGAAGAGAAAAGCCAGGCCTGAAAATTTTTGATCAGGATATATAAAAGAGAAAACTAAGTTAAAGGCTTCTTCCTGTTTTTATATCAGTAAAGATCCGGAACGTATGGCCCTTCTTCCCTTTAGCAGGGTGTGTGTGTGTACGTGTGTGTGTGTGTGTGTGTGTGTGTGTGTTTGTGTGACTGATGGGTACAGGGATCAAACCCTGGACCTTAGTGTTATCAGTACTTACTGAGTAGCCAGCCCAGAGCTGTTTAATGTAGTTTTTGGATACGCAGTAGTAGGCCTGAAGCCTAATTTGCAGTTGAAGGTAGGGTACTGATAGCTCAGCATAATGAAGAAAAATTTTTCAGTGTGTAAAGGAAGCTGGTGAAGAGGGAGGAAAGAAGCAGGCAGACCAACAATACAGCAGAAGGCTGGGCCTGAGCCGAAAAGATATATGTGAGAGTTTTACTGTGGTGGGCGACAAAGATTCTTTGCTTGACCAGACTTTAGCTAGGTTCCTAAACCTTCTCTTAGGCTTATCTGTGCACTTCCTCGTAAAATCCAGTTTTAGCAAGAACCTTGTGAAGTCAATTTAGAAAGACCCCTCCCCCAACCCCACACTGCCCTCAAGATCTGATCAGGTTCCTCATTTTCCATCATCCCCCAAGTGATGTCTGATCACCCTGGCCTGTCTTCAGCAAGAATCCTGTTAGGTCACCTTAGCTAAAATCCCCATTACTTTTTTTTTTTTTTTTTTGTCTTTTTCCGTGTCCGGCAACGGATCGCAACCCTCAGTGTTGCCCCCGTACCGGACCGGGGACCAGCCACGGGATCGCAACCCTCGGTGTTGCTCCCGCGCCTCGCTCAGCCAGTGAGCGGGAACCGGTCTGTATGTGGGATCCGAACCCTCGGGCGGGAGCGCCGCCGCGCTTCCCAAGCGGCGCACTATCCAGTGCGCCACCAGGCCGGCCCCAAATCCCCATTACTTTTGATGTTTCGTCTTGGTAATTTTCTATTCACTGACCCCCACCCTACTCCTTGGCTATAAATTCCCATTTGCCCATGCTATGTTCAGAGCTGAGCTCAGTCTTTTGCCACTGCAAAATCCCATTACTGTGGTCCCTGTATATCTGTTTTGATGGTACTGAATAAAAATCTGCCTTACTGTGCTTTAACAAGTATCATTGAGTAATTTTTCATTAAGATGACTCAGGATTTTTAAGAATGCTGTCTAATGTTTGGTTTTAAACTGTTTTGTCATTCCTATCTTGAACTATGCTCGAATTTTGCCTTTGTTAACCCCACACCATCAGTAACAAAGGAGTAGCGTGGGCTGTGGTAGTCTGGGAGATTGGTCATTTGGTGGGGAATTAAAGTACGGGTCCATAAAAAGACAGCCACCTTGCTCATATCATCCCTCTGAGGCTGACATGGTTGGCAGCATTAAGTAAAAGGAGTATATTAGTTGGGAGTTTACCGGTGGTAACATGTGGAAAAGGGAGCAGAGACCCAGGGCTGAGCTGAAATCAGCAGGTGAGAGGTAAGTGATAATGGAGTAACAAGTTGCAGCATGAGCTGACCTAGAGGCTGCCAAGAAACAAATTCCCTATTCCCCAAATATTTTAGTGGAAGGTGGTACTGGAAAGGGGATACAGAGTTGAAGGTATTTCTGTATGTGGGGGATCTAATCAGATTATGCATGGCTTTGTAAACAGGGCAAGATAACAGGTCTTGCTATGACAGATAATAGGGATTCAACAGATTCATAACATAGGTGCCTGCAGCTGAGTCATGAAATGACAATGAAAAAGGCAATGGACCAATAACTGCAAAGGTACTCTGTCTGGATTTCTAGGTCTTCACTATCTCCTGCATTGTCATTTTCTCTTTGTGTGGGATCACTCCCCTCAGCCTACAGATATCCTCTGCTGTGATAGGCAGCCTCCAAAATGGCCTTCAAGGAATTCTGTCTCCTGGTATTTACACCTTTGTTTAGTACTGTCCCCTTCAGTGCTGGCTGGATTTAGTGACTCACTTCTAGCAAATAGAAAGTGGCAGAGGAAATGGGCTACCACTTCCAACAGTAGGTTATAAAAAGAATGTGACTACTGTCTTGAGGGCTCTTTCCAACTCTGTTGCTCTGAGATAAGCTGGCTGCCATGTTGTGAGCTACCCTATGGCCATGTGGAGAGGCCTCCAGCAATAGCAAAAAGCAACTGAAATCCTCAAATGAACAGTTGTAAAGAACTGAATCATGCACCACCATGAGTGAGCTTAGATGCAAATCTTCCCCGATCAGCCCTTCAGATGAGACAGCAATTCTGACTGATACTGTAACTGCAACCTCATGAGAGATCTTAAGTCAGAGGCACCCAGCTAAGCTACACTCAAGATTCCTGACTCACAGAAATTGTAAGATAAATTTTTGTTGTTTTAATGCCTCTAAGTTTGTGATAATTTGTTAGGTAGCAACATATAATATATCTGGTTTCTCCCACCTTTGAAAAATCTTACACTGCCTCTATATCCCTTACTTTACAGTAAAATTTCACCCAAAAAGTTGTTTACATTTAGTTTTTTTTTTTTTTGGTTTTTTTTGTTTGTTTGTTTTTTTGTCCTTTTTGAGACTGGCCACACTGTGCTTAGCCAGTGAGCGCTGTGAGCGCACCGGTCATCCCTATATAGGATCCGAACCCGCGGCGGGAGCGCTGCACTCTCCCGAGTGTGCCACGGGCTCGGCCCTACATTTAGTTTTCATTTTCTACTTCACCTTTTATTCCTCTGTTTTAAATTTTTGGGGGGTTTGCTTTTTGTTCTTTTTAATAATAGGAACAGAACTTTATCGTTTTCTCAGAGAAAGAGACTTCCTTCTTGCGCACAGAATCTCTCCTCTCTTACCCTACTCCATCCATTAAAAAGTTTTAAACAAAATTAAGTGAGGATTCAAACAAAATATCTTTTTACCTCTCTTTTTCATGTGAAAACTTAGGAACCATGGTTTTGGAGGATGAGAGCATTAGTGCCAGGACCTGGGGTAGGGTGGGGATTTGTAGTGGGGCAGGATTGTCTGGAATGGGGGTAGGTTTTATCTTCCTAGTTATCCCCTACTTACTTCAGGCATGTCTGTGTTAGTGCTAGAAAATTTTTTTAATAAAATATTATGTAGCGTTAGAGTACTAACAACAGAACAGACATCAATGTATCCACCACCTCACTATTTTTGTTTTATTAAATATTTAATACATATGAAAGAACATTTATAGGATATATATGCATTTTAAAGAATAAGAGTACAAGAATGCCTATTTAAGAAAAAGAACATTATTGTTACTTTTGAAATACTCTGGGTATCCCTCTCTCATTCTATCCCTTTCTCTTTCCCTTAGAATTAATCAATATTCTGGATTTTGTATTTATTATTCCATTGATTCTCTTTATAAACTGGTTGCACAATATGGTAGCTACTAGCCACATGTGATCATTTAAGTTTAAATTTAAATTATGTTAAATAAAAATTCAGTTTCTCAGTTATATTACTGTATTTTAAGTACTCAATAGCCTTTTTGCTAGTTGTTATCATACTGGACAGCATAGTTATAGAATATTTCCATCATTGCAGAGAGTTCTATTGGACAGTGCTACTCTAACAAAAGATTGTTTAGTTTTTCATGTT